CAGCAGGAACGCTGATTTATCACTACGAGACTACAGCTGCACAAACCCCCGACTCTAAACACCTCCCCTCAGCACTGCACAGCCAATTAGTCAACCCAGCAGAGGAGAGCCCATCCACACATGTGCACGTGAATGTGTGTTTGTGTGTGTGTGTGTGTGTGAGAGAGACATTAACTGGAAGCATGGCTCAGCCCTCAGTAAGCAACAACTGTACCATGGCATTTATTAAAACGCTGCCATTACAAACCTAAAAACCAAAATAAACTAATAAGTAGGGCTGCCCCCTAATAGTCGACTAATCGTTAGTCGACCAGAAGAGGCTTAGTCGACCAAAATTTTATTAGACGCTTAGTTGCATAAAAAAAATTAAAAAATAAATAAAGCCACAGGCGAAGTCACCCAGTTCGTGACGGACAGATCGTTAACGGCTAACGTTAGTCTATGGTAATACAGTACATCAGGCAGGACATCCAAACGCTCGCCTATCATTCATCGAGCTTAAAAATGGCTTATCATCTGAAATATGTAAGTATTAGAAACTTTACATGGCTGCTCAGTCTAATGTTAACCTAGAGAAATGTGCGCTATTGTGGTCTGTGTGGAGTGTAGAAGCTGAACAGCAGCGCGCACTTACTGCAGGACAGATGGAGGCGCCGGTGTGCTCACTTGCTCTTAAAATAGGCTACTCTGTCATTTTTGGTCATTCAGATAAGAGTAATACATCTTTCAAATCTGTAAAGACTCTACGTTTATTTGTGTGCACTCACAATAACAACAAAACGCGCTTTTGTAAAAGAATGAAAGCAAACAGGATGCGCTTTCTGCGGTCTCGGTCTGTGAACTTGAGCGCGAAACTCCTATATCTTTGCCTTACAGACATTAAAATATATATAGAGAGTGAAATGTCTATTTTCAAATGAACCAATTCAAATGGAAAACAAATACTGTCAGATTATGTAATCCATATGAAACAAGGTGCATTACTACGGCGGAGATGATGAGTAAGTGTCGCCGAGTTCATCTCTTAAACTGAGAACAGAGAAAGCACTAATTTATCAAATTATTAAAATGTTAATGCAGTCTCCTTACTGTTTTTCCCTGACACATTCATAATCATTACTTCTGCCAGTGTGCTGTGGCAAGCTTTATGCGTGTGCTTGAGCGCTTATGGCTATGTAGGCAATTAAAGGCTCATTATAAAGATTTAAACAGTTTATGAATAAACGTGCGATTAGTCGACTAATGCTTCAAATGAACGACTACTACTCGACCAGAAAAATCCTTAGTTGAGGGCAGCCCTACTAATAAGAGAAAAATTGGCCCGTGTCCATTAAAACATTTTAAATCTTTTTATTTTCTCACTATGTTTCTTTAAAGAAACACTGATCCATGTGGGTTCTAGATAATTGATCATTTTATTTCACCTTGGTTAAAAAACAAACAAAAAACATTAGTGTTAAGTATGCACAATATATCAGTACTGTATTGGTTAATGGCCAATATTAGAGATTTTTAATTTAACGTATTAGCTGATTTTGGATATTTAATTCTGTATGCTCACTTCTCCAATATGCATTCTTTTACATTTAATTTCCTTTTTAATGTCATATCACAGTATTAAGTATGCACAATATATCAATGCAATATTGGTTATCGGCTGATATTAACCATTTTTAATTTATCCACATCAGCCGATATTGGATATTAATATTGGATATGATCATTTCTCAGTTTTTTTACATTTAGATTAACTTTGCCATCATCTAACACTCAAAGTTAATATTTAAAAACATTAATCATTTTATAACACCAAATATTCATGTTTAATACGGTATATTATATTAACGGCTAAATACACTTAGAATTTTAAATGATTTATTTTAATTTTAAAGATTTATTTTTAAATTATTTAGAGAAAAAAGTATAAAAGAATAGAAACAATAGTCATCTATTGTTATAGGTCATAGTATGAAAATAATTATATATAGTTATATATTTATCAGTATTGGCCAGAACCTTAAAAATGGTGCATCCCTAATCAGTACAACAATTAATCAGCACCAATGACCATTTAGTCAAGCTTAAAATTTTAAAATGAGGCACTATAAACTTCCAGAAAGAAAACTGTATAGTGTAATTGAAGTGTCCCCGTTTAAATTTGTTCTGTGTATCATATAATTCTGCAGCCGGGACTGTATATAATATATGGCAAGGCTTCTCAGGACCCTCTTGAATAATTTGGCATGGCTTCGAACTACAGACAAAGATAATAGCTTAATCTCCACTTCATTATGTCACCAATATAAATGTCCTCTATAAGAATTATTCACACCAGATGGTGTCTCTTACTTTCGCTCTCACTCGTCTAATAGACACACAGCAACCCGTGCACACAGTGAAACACAAACGCGTATCATGGGCGCAGACTTCATGTGATCATCTCGCTGTGTTAATATTTCATTCCATAAGTCTGTCTGATCACTGTTCTTATGAGGTAAATGGAAGGTGACAGCTGCCATAGAGGCTCGTTGGCTCTCTCAGTTAATTATGTTTCGCTTCGTCCAAATTCAGAGGAGAAAAATGCGTCAGGGACATCGTGAGCGTGACCACATTGACCGTCATGACAGAAGTGTGTGTTAGAGGAAGACCCACAGAACAGCCTGGAAAAAAGCCAATGAGCTGCATGAAAAAACAAGAAAGGTTGACTGTTGCCAATAGATATTAAATATACTGTCCAGTTTTTATTTTTTGTCACATTTGTAATCTTAGTTGTTGTTGAGCCCTACTTAAGCGCTAATCAAAGAAATCGCAGACAAACTTAAAATTGTTCATGCTACTGGGCAAGAAGAAATAAAACACTCTCTGTGTCTGATCTGTGCACGCTGCATTAGGCAGGTGTGGAGAAGTTGGGACGCTTCTCTCTGCAATTGCATATGATGTGTGAAAAGCATGTGAGTGCGTAACCAGGCTTGACTGTGCTAAGAGATGTTTGAAAACTGAGTCAAGAGGAAGAGGATGGAAAAAGAGAACGAGGACAGTTCAAAACTCGATTCTGTCCTCCCATCGTTACCTGGGCTCACCAGATGCCCTGCTGAGAATAGCCACACTGTTCACCATGACAACAGTAGAAGAATCCATAAATGCCACATTCTCATTGCTCACTTTTTTAAACATGAGCATTAAACATAATAAACTAAATTTTCACTGGATATGATAAACTGCAGATGATAGACCATCTATAGATCAGAGAAGCCATTAATTTCCAATGGAGAGTCACACAGGACTGCGTGAAGTTCTGATTCTATATGGATGATGGATTTCTGGATTCTATTTCACCTTCGGTTGTGTATGAATGTATTAAAATCATCTGAATGGATGTGATGTATTACAACTAAAAGTATGAGTGTGAAATGACAATTATAATTTTTAATCCAAACACATGCAACTTCAGTAGAATGGATAGCTATGAACAAATAAGTCAGACATAATTAATTATAATTTATAATATATTATATTACAATATATTATAATTGCAAATTGAAACAGTAGTATCCTAAGTTCGCAGACAGCGAAAAGACAACTGATATGTGACTACAATTGTGCATTTAAAATTCTGAAAATTCAATAAGGGACTGTCTTAAACTAAAACCCCCAAAGTGCTTTAAATGGGGACAAAATATCTGAAAGCTCCAGAGCGCAACACACACAGCTTGACCTTCATCTCCACAGAGATACCATGAAAACACCTTGGCAACTGCACAACGTGGGCTATCCATGTCTGTGAAATCTTAATTAACAAGTCACAAATC